CGGGTTCGAATCCGGGTAGCGACCGAAAGATTTTCTTCTCTAAAATTGTCTCCTTTCACCTCCTTTCCTGCTCTCTAAAAATGTTCTGTCGTCTGCTTTCCACTCCTCTTTCTACCCCCACCCCCTCATCTCCTACGCCCCCTCCTCTGGGCTCCTGACTCTTTTTGCAGTCTTTCTACAGCTACTCGAAAGATCTACACCTTGTCATCTCGGACAAGGGCGAAAAATCTCAAAGGCCCAGTGTGCAGGTTGCGCACTTTAAAGATCCGGGCAAAATGCAAAATGTCCTACCAACTGAAAATGTTATCCAAAATCGATAAGAGTAGGCTTCAGCCGCCACCCGGGCAAAATTCAACATTTCTTACCAACTGAAAAAAGTTTAATAAAATAAAAACACTTACCCCCCAAAAAACACCCAAAAACACAACAACAACAAAAAACACACAAAAAAACAAAAACAAAACAAAACCACTGGTACAAACGACCACCTCTCACTTCCCCTACATTTTGAGGACACTGTAAACGACAATCATATGACCTTATACAGTTGCGAGCGCCGTAAAACACTTATTTAAAAAAAAAAAGACAATCATATGACCTTATACAGTTGCGAGCGCCGTAAATCACTTACCAAAAACCTCCCCAAAAAAGACAATCATATGACCTTATACAGTTGGGAGCGCTAGAAAACATTTACCCCCCCAAAAAAAGAAGACAATCACTATTACAAACGACCACCCACCTCTCACTTCCCCTACATTATGAGGATACTGTACAAGACAACCATATGACCTTATACAGTTGCGTGCGCTGTAAAACACTTACCAAAAAAATAATCACCATTACAAACGACCACCTCTCACATCCCCTACAGTATGATGACACTGTTCAAGACAATCATATGACCTTATACAGTTGCGAGCGCCGTAAAACACTTACAACCCCCCCAAACGCCTCCCCACCAAAAAACAAGACCCCCCCAAAAAAAAACCCACACACACAAAACACAAAGGGTACCTGTGAAACTTGGGATCTGCGTAGTTGAAGGAAGCAGCGCTCGGCATTCGTCCAG